GTAAAAGTAATATGAGCAGCAGAAGTAGTATTATTAATAGCAGTAGTAGTAGTATTAGCAGCAGCAGAAGTATTAGTAACAGCACTAGTAGTAGAAGTAGCAGCAGTGGTATATTCTGAATTAAAATGTTATCAATCTTCAAATATAAACACTTCATCACCCATGTCCACCGTTATACTCATCACTTAACTCATTCAGCACCAAAATAGACATCATGTGGTTTTTTTAAAATAAATTACCCCATATAAGATAGACAGTTTTCAATATGCTTTATATCTCATCCAATTGTTACACTAACCCATAAATCCCTGTTTCTGGGCTTCCTTTTGGGAGAAAAACAAGTTTGGACCCCCCCCCCCCTTAAAAGTTGACAAATTGGGGGTGTATTCTTTAGGTCAGAGTGCATCTGCCAGAGAGGCAAGGAACAAACAGATCATACAAATAAGCTGTAAAATGGATCTGCAACCAAAACCCAAGTTCTGAAAAGAGACCAAAGTCCAAAAGCGGATGAAGAATCATAACTTTTTGGCCGGAGTTAACAGCTGGTAAACGCTAAGAAGAAGTAACCTTCTTTCACAAAGAACTATTAGCTGAACTCTTTCACGCCCAAGCAATGGGGGTACCTGTTGACTGAAAAGTTCCGATTTGCCAAAACCACACAGCAGCGCCAATCATGTGTCTCACATATATTGATTTGCATGATGTTCCATATTAGATTTTATGTTAGAAACTACCATTGAAAAAGTCAGGGAAGGTTACTCTAACATTTTTCCTTTGTTTAGATTACAAGTCTTTGTTCATCTAGGCACAAATTTATCCAATTCATTACAAGCATCATTTTCAGACTGAATTTTCTAATTTTTTCTTTGACTGATCATAGACAATAATGTTTCAAACACAATTACAGGTTGCAAAATGTGCCTTTCTGAGGCTAAAGCTCTGAAACTGTTTCAATCAGATGTTTTAAATTATGATTATGATAATGAAAACTTAAATTTGTCGGAAAATGATATGGATGATAAATTTACATCAACGACAGCTAAGCGGTCAGCTGTTAGGGAATCTAGCAGTTCTGATGAGCTAAACTAGGAGGATCCACTTTATGTGTGAAGGACGTGATAGTCATCCACATTTGCATCCAAAGGACTGTATCAAACAGTAACATACTATGGCTAAGCTGCATTGAAATCACTGCAGCAACAGTTTGTGTATAACACAGAAGTAAATGTTATGTGTGGAATGGTCCATTTTCTGCCATTTTGTTCTTTGAAATTGTGTTCAGCACTTTACAAGAATCATTTTTAGGTCAAACTTTGTCTTCGTAAACACAACACCTGTTTAATTCTTTTTTCCCTTACTAACTATAACAGCATTTAATATATGCATAAGATTAAAAAAATGTACATTTATTCCTCTTTTAAAATATACATAATTTTACAGCAATTAGAAATATATTCAATTCTCTATTGCATTTTATTTTACATCAACACCTGCTATTTTTGTAAACAGAAATTAAGTTAATGCCTGTAGCCTCTGCAATAAACCACCCCTTGTTAACAAAGAACAGGTAACAGCTAGAAATAAAAGTGCTCATCTGTGGCCACAAGCAAGTGCTACTGTAATGGACCCAGTCAGGTGTATTTGATGGACCCAGTCAGGTGTTTTTTGATGGACCCAGTCAGGTGTATTTGATGGACCAAGTCAGGTGTATTTGATGGACCCAGTCAGGTGTATTTGATAGCTAGACCCAGTCAGGTGTATTTGATGGACCCAGTCAGGTGTATTTGATGGACCCAGTCAGGTGTATTTGATGGACACAGTCAGGTGTATTTGATGGACCCAGTCAGGTGTATTTGATGGACCCAGTCAGGTGTATTTGATGGACCCAGTCAGGTGTATTTGATGGACCCAGTCAGGTGTATTTGATGGACCCAGTCAGGTTTATTTGATACAGAATGATAAAATAAAATAACTTATTGTAACGTATAAAACATACACTGTGATCACTGTGTTTACCATGGACCAAAAAAGAAGAAATACAGACATCCTAAAGGATATGAAAATTAAAGAAGACTGGCTAGTTAACAACATTTTGTCTTGGAAAATGAAACATTCTAGTCATATCAAGCGCCACAACAGACTGGAAAGAATAGTAGCAGAAGGTATGGTGCCAGGAAAGAGGGGCAGGGATTGATCAACATGAAGATGGACACAGAATATGACACCCTGGGTGGGAAAGTTAAGTAGGCGGAAGAGTTGGCAACAGACTGAGTTTCTTTCAGGCAGACTGTGGCGAGAGGGATGCCTGCACACGACCTGCTAATCAGAGATAATGATGTGCTTATCAGACAAATTTAGGACTTGAAAATGGCCAGATTTTATACTCCTCTTTCCAACAACTCTAAACTTCCGATATTTATATCTCAATGGAGCATAAGTTCTTAACTCTCTGAGTCCCAGGGGGTTTAGCATCAGAGGCCCAAGGGGTAGTCAAAAGAGATGTAAAATCGGCGCATCTTGCGTTCATTGGGCCTCTAGGCAGGAACCTCTGAATGTATGATGTGTTTCTTGGGATTCAAAGAGTTAACCATCTCATGCCAAGACTTCCTGCATACTGTCCCCTGTATACTTTCCCCACATAACTCATGTCTGGAACAAACTTTCTTCTTTTTGGCTAGCAAAATTTCTCATACCCTATATCTTCAAGGAGACAGCGATGGTAAACATCACTGGCACTTTGCAATGCTGGCGCTCTACAAAAACTAGTCACCCAAACCCTCTACAAGTGGTTAGGAACTACGATATAAAACACCAAAAAGGATTCCTCATGTTATCATGGAAGGTGGCTACCTTACAAACAATAATCTCCTTAGATTCCCTCCCCCTTCATCCTCTGACTTCTATGTGCTGTGTCACCATTTGTATCAAGACACAAAAAATGTTATGTTTTTAACTTTTTTATTTATTGATATTTCAAATGTACTGGATGAAGGAATATCAATTTATAGATGTGAGTTTGTTAGACCCTGGAACTAATTTAGTTTCCATTATTTTCAACAGAAAAATTGCCTTTGAACACGGATGATTCATAATTCGATTATCATCTCAGAAAGGATTATATCCTCATTCCAATGTACCACTGTATCCGCTTCCTACAAGGGCTGTCTGTTTGGCCCACACTAGAGTAGAACATATATGAGTTTGGCATTGTTATGAACATCTCATTTGGACACCAGCTGTGATGTTATGAGACTGAAGGAGTCGTCATAAAAAGTGGTCATTCGCCCAGCAGGCTGACAGGGTAGATAGGATGTGACAAAATAATAACTTACTGATGGCTTTGCAGAACACCGCTAGAATATAACACAAAGCTACAAACCTTTGTTGAATTTTGGTACCTTATACCATTCTTTTTTGGTGTACACCCCTGAAAAGGATGGGTGTGTTGTAGTTTACAGTTAGGCTGTGATATCTGTGCCTTTTGGGCCAACAGATTAACTTTTAACAATTCCTTAATAAGCCGCATTAAAAAAAAAAAATGCTTGTTAAGGATTTGTCGGCCTATTCTCCTCTCCACCCACCCCCACATCAAATGGAGCCCAGAACCTACATGGCACGAGAAGCCAAATACTATGACAGATGACATGCTGACCATTTAAGTGAGTGACAGGTGTTCATGCAACTTCTGCTTACAGATGAGAAAACTTGTGAGTTACAGAATACAAAATCGTGATCAATCATTGACAAAACTTCCTTACAATAAGCAAACGGATATATTCTGTTTGTATCTATTATCTTTCCTTCTAAGGATGTTGGCTTGTGGTTCACATTCACCTCGACGTACAAGAAGATGCTGTTAAGTTTACAATCAAAGTGCCCGGACTGAGCCGAGTTTGTGACTGTGTAATGCATGTCTGATAAAACCTACCCTGTCTCATCCCAACAACTGAGACCTTGTGCTCCACCACAGTTAGCTCTCTTAAGGGTGACCACAGAACAGACCAGTGACACTAGTTAGTCAGAGCATCATTATAAAGCACAGAGGCCCTTAACCGTATCAATGCAAGACCCACAGACTTATGACAGCAGCAATGCAAGTCCATGAAAGCATATCTGCAATATATTTATGGCTGATATATGCACCATTACAATACACAGATCAGTGATGACATTATTACATGACAGAAAGGTCCAGTGTGGTAGTATTACACAACAGATCTGCGACACAGACACAAATTTGTGGTCATAATTACAACACACATAGGTCCATGGTGGCACCATGAGAAGAACCACACGTTCATATTGGTACCACTACAAGACACACATGATTATAATGACTTCATTACAAGACACACACACATCCATAATGGTATCATTTCAAGACACACAGGTCCAAAATGACATCATTACAAGACACATAGGTTCATGGTGACATCATTATAATACACAAAAGCCCATAATGGCATCACTACAAGACATAGTTGTTTGAATGCATTATCACAAGCCACACAAATCTATGCCAAAATTATCACAAGACAGCACCTTCAGACACACAGCATATTTTCTGGTTAATTATCAGACAAACAGATATTGTGCAAGCAAAAATGAACACACACCTAAGAAGAAGACTAGGAAGAAAAAAAAACACATAGGCACAAAAGATCAGATAATGATCTACTTTTTCTGCACCTTAAAATGAATTGTCAATGAAGAAGGCATTACAAAAAAATAATAATGAGATTTTTCTAAACTCTATTGGGAATGAGAGAGGCACTGAAAAAAATGTAGTTATAAGAGTTGGTTTATTTTATAGTAAACATATCGCAGATAAATCAACATTGTTCAGACAACAAACCTATAATATTACAAATGACTGGACCAAACTTTCAACGGATTATCTGTACTGACAGCACGCATGGGGACAGGGAAATATAATTTTCATATAAATATATATATAACACAACAATGACGACAGTATTACACTATCACCGAGCATATTGTCAACCATCAGTTTCCAATCGAGACCTTTTTTCAGGCGGTTCATTAGATCTGGCTGAAACTGCCGACGGCTGGTTCAGAGGCGGAGTCACAGAGGAACCAGCAGCCAGCTGCTGGTCATGTTTTATTGGTGAACCTGGCTCCTGTTTGATGAGATTTCCTTTGTGTACCATTGAAATACTGAGGGGGGTTGATGACAAAGATGACAATGACATGGAACCTCTGTTGGGAAACAAATTGTGAAAGAAATTCAGTGGAAGGGGGATTGCAGTTTAAAACAATGAACAAACAAATAAACAAACATTTCCAAAGGGTCACAAACTGGACAGGCAGGCCTGTCCTTCATTCGGCCCTTTTAAACATTTATCTTTTACACGACAAGCGTGCTTGTATATATCACGAATGTTATGTTAATATATCAAAATATTCACAGTATGAAATGTAAGTTAAAAATACAGAAGAAAATGAAGGAAATTAGGCAACATAACAGGATCAGATATGTCTTGATCTTCTTCACTTTCGTCTAAAGTTTTGGGTGAGGCATAAAGGTCAGGGCGCCTAGTCAAATTCATCAAACTTTTGCAAGGGGCTTTTCAATCTATTTTTGATCCTGTCAAGGCTGCGCTGGGCAAAAACACACACATGTATACAAATAATATATAGTGTTTTTACATAATATCCAGACTTGGTGGCAGGGGAAAGCTACTAGAAGAAATGATTAGAATTAACATTAGTAAAACCAAATGCTTGTAGTTTCTAAATAAACTAAAATTCCCATTTGCTTTATATTTGGTAAAAGTCTTGTCTGCTCTAGACCAGGCACTCTAAAGCTCGAGACAGACTAATGAAAACACAGAGGGAATGGGAGGGACAAACAGAGCGATAAGATAAGGAGGGAAAACCCAGTAGAGAGAGCAAGAGTAAAAGACAGTCAGAGACAGATGGAGAGAGACAGACATGGAATAGAAAGAGGAAAGACGCATATAGAGAGACGCGTAGAAGAAGAAGAAGGAGACAGTGAGAGAGAGAAAGAGAAGGAAAAATCAGACACAGAGAGGGATGGGTGGAGGCAGCCAGACAGACAGAGAAAAAGAGAGATAGGGACAGGCAGAAAAAAAAGCAAGTAGAAAGAGAGAGAAACAGAGAGAGAGAGAGAGCAACAAACATAAATGAGGAAGTCAGAGAGGAAGGAGGTGAGGCACAGAAGGTAGTAAAGAAAAGAGAGGGAATGGTAAAGAGACAGGGTTAGAGATGTCTCTATGCAGAGAAAGGAAGAGGGCAGTAAAAAAAACAGAAGGAGAAAGAGGAGGAGGAGGAAAAAGGGTGGGTGAGAAAGTAGAGATGTAAACATACAGAGAGATCCAGACAGCAAGGGAAAGAAAGAGGTACAGAGAGATGCAAAGGGGAAGGGGAGGGGGAGGCAAACAGATAAGAAGGGGAAGAGAATAGACAGAGATATAGAGGGAAGGAGAGAGAGAGGCAACAGATGCAGAGGAGACAGAAAGGGGAGAGACAGAGGGACAGAGAGAATGCTGATCACCAAAAACATACGCAGAAAAAGTAGAAAGATAGGACACTATCTACAAGTGCTGATCCATAGGAAACCTTTTTTTATGAGTGCTTATCAATACATTATTTGTTTATTTATCATATACACAATGCTGCTATGGTGTCAAGAGGTTCTCCCTCTATTTATGTTTATAGTTATTTCCCCTCTTTATCTCTCTACTTCTTTTTAATGATCAACAGATATCTCCAGAAACTTACCCTGGAGTAAATGTTACACCTGAGGCATGCAACGCCGCAGTTAGGGGACCCGGACCTTGTCCTTGACTGCTGAACTGATAGACCAAGGGAGACAGTCCAGTTATGTCAGCGCTGTTCAGAAGATCTGTGAATTCAAATATATAATTTTAAAAAATGTGCAAGCTATCTGCACAACAGAGATTGACTTTACTGCATCTGTGCGTGCAGCCAGCCCCGACTCTGAGAACAATACACCGGCCTCAACCTCTTCAACAGTGTGAATCTTGTTTGTACAAGTGTCTGACAGCCACAAGAACAGTCCAAATATGAAGATTACCAAATAAATGCTTTGCTTTCCAGTGACTTTTTGATGAGTACAATGAAACTAATGATGGCCACCCAGTCCTTTGCAGAATGCTGCTCTCATCATAGCCATGAAGTTTACTTACCTTGCAGAAAGCATCACTTAAAACCTAAATCTGATCTTTCTTGAAGTAAAAAATGTCTAAAAACCTCTCTCAAATTAAACAAAATCCGACTATCTTCCAAATAACGGTCCCAAATTATCGAGGTGGAAAATATACCCTAACAGAGCCTCAGTCACGTGCTATTGCACACTTCCGGAGACTATAACGCCACCGCCAAGAGTATCCCCATGCCACTCACGCGGCGTGGATTGGGGCTAAACTAGATGGCTTGGGACTCACGAGTAAATAAAATGAAGGAAGCTGTAGGAGATGCAGTAGCTGCTGCTCATGAGTCCCAGCCATCTAGTTTAGCCCAAATCCACGCCGCATGAGCGGCGCAGGGGATACTCTTGGCGGTGGCGGAAGTCGCCAGTAGTGTGCAATTTAAGTCGCCAGAAGTTCGCAACTGACTTGTGACTGAGGCTCTGTTAGGGTATATTTTCTGCCTCTATAATTTGGGACCGTTATTCAGAAGATAGCCCAAAATCCACCCCCTCCCCCTCAAAATGTATATTTAAGCAGTAAGTCTGTGAATAATGCTGCTTGTTCACTTTATATTTTGACCAGCACCAATGACGTTTGGGAGTTATAGACAGACACCTGACGACCTTAAGTTCTCCAGTTCAAATCCACATTAGTGGATTTAAAAAAAAAAAAAAAAAAAAGGGATTTTATCTCAGATCAACCAAGTCTGAAATGGACTCACACAGCAGAGTGGTTTTTGAGAGTTATACAAATATTATGGAATGATGTACTTGTTACTTGTTGTCCATATCGGCATCCTAGCACATCGGTCTGATCCATTTTGTACTCCCTCCTTCGATGCAACCGCCATCTCAGTGTCTCCACGCTCAACGTAACCAGTAGTAGTTGACTGGTGTATCTTTTCTCTTTGCCCCACAACCAGTTTTTGAGGCATTGACATGTAAATCTCCAGCGCAGGCAAACTACGATTATCAAGGTCTTCAGTGTTGTAACAAAAGGTCTTCTCCTGCCTCTTGTCTCATTCCGACTAGACACCACATAATTACTATGCATGGGAGATGGTCACATGAAATGATATAAAACTAACTGATTCAGTCTTCCTTAAGACAGCTTAAAACTGTTTATAAAAACAGTCTTGTGTTTTTGCATGTGTGGATATGCTATGATTCAAAAACGGACTTTTGTGACGACTAGCCATATTGATGGAAAAAAAAAGAGTATAGGAATCGGCGTAGAGATAAATACCTGAATTCTCCGGTAACTGCTGGCATACTTCCAGACGACAAGTGTTATACTATGCTACAGGAAGTGCATGGGAATCCAGCCAATGGCGATGGTGAGTGTGACTAGCAAGACTGCTTGCATTAATAACAGTCTCCCATAATCAGAACCTAACGTTTCAGGAAGACTGATGCTATTGCATGTACTTAACAGGCTTCTTTAACCTGCCAGCAATGTTTTCTTCTTTATCCCTAATGCCTTCCTCATTTTTCCATTCATGCAACATGGCCCACAGTATCCTGTGCTCACAAATCTACCTTAATAACTGTATTATTCATGTCCCACTTGTATATGTCTTTATATATATATATATATATATATATATATATATATATATATATATATATACATATACAAGTGGGACATGAATAATACATATTATTAAGGTAGATTTGTATATATATATATATATATATATATATATACATATGTTCTGAATATTCTGTGAGCGAAAAAAAAAAAAGAAACGCATACCTGATGCAATGATGGCCTGAATGGTATTATGTCCTGCGCCTTGGTTAGGTGTTGCTATAGAAACATTAGGCGTATCTAAGGCAGTCCCTGGAAGTCTTGTCTAAAAAAAGGACAAAAGAGAATCAATGGTTGAAATAGGGAACAACAATGTTTTTCAAATTACCATAAACTGCGGCATATAAGTTGTCATACATTTCTTTTAGCTCAGAATTACCAGTCGGTCAGTTAGGCCTAAATGCACCCTACAAATTGACCCCCCCCCCCCCCCCCCCCCCCCCACACACACACAACCCTGGCCACCAGTGGCCAAAAATCGGAGCTTAGCAGTAAAAAGGTTAGGCCGAGTACCCCAGTAAGAAGAAAAGGTAACTAAAACACACGGTTTGTTGTAAGAGGGAACAATGAACAGCCGAGTACCCCAGTAAGCAGAAAAGGCATCTGCAAAATCAAACCAACCTTGAGAAGGCAGACACTGGAGCACATTCCGCAGGCCTGCCAACTATACTTACAACTACAAAGAGAAACCTGACCTTAAGGGCAAAGTGTACACAGCAGGCTATCTCAGCTATTACACAAGCTGTATTTTTTTAAGGTTATGGATTTTTAAAAAATACCTAAATTTACTGGAGATTTGACAGGAATAGTCTGATATGCAAGCCCTGTGAACAACCTTCCAATAACACACTTATAAGTATCAAAAACAGGAAACATTTTCTGCACTTTCAGTCACTACATGTTGTCAGAATTAAATTTAAAAAATATTATAACCAAATAAATCAACATAAACTGTACCCCCCCCCCCCCCAAAAAAAAAATATTAATGTAAATTCTGATTTACACTATAAAACATTTGGAAAGAAAGGACTGACATCTACCTGTGTGACAGATGGTGCTCTATCTGGTATAAGCACTTTCAAACCGGGTCTCTTGCCAGCGGATGGCGTCATCGACTGGGTGGAGGTCGATGCTACAGCTGCAGCAGCACTCGCTTGTGAGAAATCTGAAGACAACATGTAGACTGACCCTTACATATAACAATCAATAAGAAGACATGAATACAATACCCTGTAGAAGGTTTAGGCATATTACCCCATATTTCCACAAATAAGAAGGTTTAAGCATATTACCCCATATTTCCACAAATGAGAAGGTTTAAGCCTATTACCCCATATTTCCACAAATGAGAAGGTTTAAGCATATTACCCCATATTTCCACAAATGAGAAGGTTTAAGCATATTACCCCATATTTCCACAAATGAGAAGGTTTAGGCATATTACCCCATATTTCCATAAATAAGCAGATTTAAGCAAATTACCCAACATTTCCATGAGATGGTTTAAGCACATTACCCCATATTTCCATAAATGAGAAGGTTTAAGCACATTACCCCATATTTCCATAAATGAGAAGGTTTAAGCACATTGCCCGATATTTCCATAAATGAGATGGTTTAAGCACATTACCCCACATTTCCATAAATGAGAAGGTTTAAGCACATTACCCCATATTTCCATAAATGAGATGGTTTAAGCACATTACCCCATATTTCCATATGGTTTCTTTTAGATGTCCAAACCACTAGCATTACCTCTTGGTGAATTTGACGCATGATGTCATAAGGTCAGTTGCAAATCCTTTACAAGACGTCGCAAACCTAACCCCCAAAATTTATTGGTAGTTTGTGGGTTATTAGTCTGCATCAATTGCTTAGGTGTTGCAAATGTGGTTTATGACTCTGAGATACCCTGTTTGATTCCAGCTATGGGTTATTTGGAAGCAGACTGATGTGTGTTGATTTCCACAACAGTATAGACAGCCTATCATTCAGCATCAATGGCAAACTACTGAATGTAAAACTGCCTAGTGAAACTATTAACAACTAAAATGTTGGGGGATGGTTCTGCAACATTCTATAAAAGGATATGCAACTGACATTTTATCTTTGTGGTTTTACTATACAAACTTGTTTGGTAGTCTGTCGTCACTTCTACACAGTCTGATGTATCATTTCCAAATTGAGGCACTGCTACCAAATCACCTATTATTAGTAAACTGAACCAGTTATGCTGGTCAGGAGTTTATGATTATCTTATTCCTTATGTTATTTCACATTCTACCTCTTCTGGAAACCCCAGCAATCTTTTCCTCTCACACACAATGAGTTTGTTCTACAGGGGTGTTCAATATTGACATGAATTAGTTTGCACAGTTCTGTCTTTCCAGTCAATACTGTGATCTTGTGCTATACGGAGGCATGCAAATCACAGCCCATTGCAATGGTGTGTGTGTGTGTATGAATAGCAAGACCCACGTGTGTTAAGAACAGTCTTCCACAATGAGAGCTAGAAAGTCAAGACTCTCAACACTTATTCAGACGTGCTTTCACTCTGAAGTATAAAAGGGCTTCTGTGCTTTTCAAGACTCCAAGAGCTGTGCAGATAATAGTGTATCATTGGTAAAGTCTTCTATTAATATTAAATTATTAAATCGTATTTCTCATCACCTTAATATTACATTACATGCATTATTTTTTTTTCTATTAATTCATTATATATGTTGATATATAAACACATTATGCTTTATAAATAAAATATCACTACTGTGTGAAAGATAGAGCGTCTGAAGGGCGGGATGAAAAAAAGAGAGAGCGAATACTCAATTTGTAGCGCTTTAAAAACAAAGTTAGTCACAGTCACAATCTTACTGCTTTTAAGGAGGACCAGGGACAATAAAAAAATATACAGAAACCCCTTGTCAAAAACTGGATGTACTAAGGTAAACTTGTCCAACGATAATTTACTTAATAATTATGATCAGACTATCAATACTGAAATCCCCATGTGGGTTCTAGAGCACTATATTTCGAGGAAAAAAAAGAGACTCATTGCTTAACAAGCTGATATGTTGGGCAGAAATATTCCAGCCAAGCTGTCAACTTCAATATAATATGCCATTGTACTTTTAAAAGGAAAATAAGAAAGAAAAAAAAAAAAAGAAGGAAAACCTACCTGATGGACTAGGAGCTGAATGAGACATGGAGACAGGCGGAGGCTGCAGGACAATAACAGATCCATCAGCCATGCTCACTGGGGTGGTTGTGTATTGTGTTGACGGGACTTGCACTGGCAGCTGGTATACTTGCTGCACTGTTGTCTGAAGATGGATAACATCATCATCATACAAGTCAAGTGAATGCATGCAGCCTTTAACAGACATTAAGACAAGACAGAACATCAACATCATGATCTGCCCTGCTCATAAGCATTCTTGATTGGCTATCCAATATGATCATTAGAATCACAGATAATACTATTATTCTGCCCATTCCTGTAGCTTAGCTATCTAGGTATTTATCTCTGTCTTCAAGGAGGAAATAGAAGACAAAAAGGTAAATATCTGGATTTTTCCTTGCTCCCCTCCCCCCACAATCTTGTCATCAAGTTTATAAGGCTGTTCCATCTTTTTATATGTCCAAAAATACAGACTGTCCTCAACAAATTTAGATAATCATTTCATCAGTCTGGAGTGTTTTTCAGCATGTTTGCTTACTGCCCATGCCTCATATTATTTTATTTCCTTTTTTTAAAAATCAAACACACTATACAGCTCTGGTATATCTTCTTTTTCTTCTTCTGCGTTCACCAGAAGATATAATTGCGTTGTGCCATTCTACAGCATGACTACGATATTTGCGCCTTTTGGTCAACACATCTGACTTCTGCAGGCACTTGCTGGCCGGGTTAGCTTTTGCCGATTAGTTTCACTGGACATTGCAGTCTTATTGTTGTGTGGTCATCTTTGTTTCCTAGGTCACTGGTTGTACCCCAGGCCGGTCCAGAGAAGCTGTGTAATTCTGGTCAGCCCTCCAGAGAAGCTAGGAGTAGATCATAAGTATTCCCCATCATCCAAGGAGGTTTCCATAAAAGCATGGTGCCCTGTTGCTAGGCTCACCCAAGAAATTGTCACATTCTGCTCCTGATTGTTAACCCTCACTTCCATATATTGAACACCCCATTCCTCAGTTCTGGTTATATGACAGCTGCTTTTGGCTTGTGCAGACATGATTCATGTTGCCAACTGTAAGAAACTTGCTCTATTTACAACTGCACTTATTTTTACCTTGACGGTTCCATCATTCATAGCTCTTGCAAATGCCGCATCTATTTTTCTGTAGTTTTCATCAGTTTGAGGAGAAAGGGGATAATCGTCATCATCACCATCAGCATCACCACCCTTGCTTTCCTTTTTGTTCAGCATCTGGAGATTTTTTAGACAAGCAAATAAAAAGAACATGATAAACTGTTTATTATATTATATGCTATGGAAATAAACAGAGAAAAAGTATCTAAAGAGATCATTAATGTTTCCTTAAAAAAAAAAACCTACCTAAATGAACATAAGCCCTGGCATGAATTTTAGGATGCTTTTAATGTAAGCATCATCACAAAAACAAAGCCCTTGTTTAAAGATCGTCAGCTACAATAAGAAACCTGTGGCTGAATGTCAGTCGAGTCGCAAGAAATTGAGGATTTAGATAGTTTCAGAATAAACTTAGAATTTTGTATTTGATTAATGTCGATTTCTGCCTCAGAAAAAAAAAAAATTCCCTGAAATATAAGTAAGAAGCCCTAGCACATATTTTAAGCAAAAATGTAAGACCCGGTTTTGAGAAAATATGGTAGAAACCTAGTACCAAATTTAGAATATTCAACTGAAACAAATCAATACTGCTGTATGCAGCAAAAACATGCTGTCTTCTTCTTCACTTCCTCTGTTACCATTCTGGTGTCCAGGGAGGCACAAGGTTCTGCTTTTTGCTCTTATGGCCACCTTGACCTTAGACACATCGTAGTGTTGTAAAATTTCTCTGGTGTTATATAATCCTTTCATACTGCCAAGGTTAAGGTTTAGCTGAAAACAGATACAACTGGGAGAGGCACAATTATTGCCTGCGTTTTCTGATTGGAAAGTCCATTTATACCTCATGATATTCTTCTAATGAAAATGAACCTACTGTAAGCTTGCTGGCCTATCACAATTTCACCATAGCCCCATTAACCAGGATGTTTCAGATTGATCTAAAATCGCCTTTATGGCTACTATGGCAGTCTCATGATACAAGGCCACCCCATTTTTCGCCCAATCTTAGCAATTCCATACTTTGTCACATTTACTGTATGGCATGGAGCATAAACATGTAGAACAACTAAAACAGTTATTTATAAACTATAAACACTATAACATCACAAAGATAAAGAACAGAATAGGACAAGCCAAAACTATTTTATAAAATGAAGAACACTTTATTCACTAAATCCATGTCACTAGAGGCTGGAAAAAGAATGCTTGCCTGCTATATGGAGCCAGTTTTAACATATAACTGTGAATCCTGGACGTAAATAAACAAGCTAAACAATTTCTTGAGGCCTCAGAGATGTGGTTTTACAGAAGAGAAGAATAGACAGCTAAAAACAGCTTGAAAGAGGCAAGGGCTCGAAGACAACTAATCACAAACATCAGAAAGAGACAAGTCAAATTGTTTTTTATCACGTTGTGAGAAGAAAACTGAAACATGTTGTGAGCACTGGAAATATCCGTAGAAATATTGACAGAGGAAGACAGTGTGACAAGACAGCCTTTTGTCATGGCATAGAGGTGTGTCAACAAACAAACTGATACACACAGCAGCACACCACAGAGAGGCATAAGCGCCCATGCCAGTCACCTACACGGAATGGAAGTAATAAAAAGGCTTGTCAGAATACTAATGTTGAACTTAGGACGAAAGTTAATCAGGTAAGAGGATCAACTACAATGTTCCGGGTTTTATCCTGTATGACCTGGTCTCTCTCCACAGATTGGCTGTCTGCCGAGAGTGCCGCATGAAGCACAAACTCTGATGCTCCAGTGATGATCCAAAAAAAATTGCACCCTTGAACCAAGCGATCATCATCCTGTGCCCTGCCAACTGACATAGGCGCTCAAGCATCTCCGCAGATCACGATCCCTAGTTGTCTGGAACAGCTCTCTTGGTGATATCCCTCCATGCCATCGTTTAAGCCCATCCAGCATCATCTCTCTTGGTCTGCCTCTACCCCCTTTCCCACTGATCTTTCCAGCTGTCACAATACCACCATAAAATGAACTCATGACCTTCAGAGCATGAGAAAAACAACTTAACCACTTCTTCACAGAGTAGCCCCACCCCCCGTGAATCAATATGCGAACAAATGATGCTGGTGCCAGACAAATTGGAAAACTTGACAACAGCATGACTAGAATGTCCTTTCACTGGTACTGAGACAGAGTAATACTTAAAAAACACATAAAGAGAGTATGACAAAAACTGTTTGGGGGCCGATATATTTTAGTGAAGGTTGAGGGACAGAAAGATAAGAATTCTAGAGTAATCAGTAACCAACAAGTCATTTAAACCTATATAACCCTGGTACAACTTTTGGTTGCCTGACCATGTAACCAAAAAAAACCTTTGTCTGACCAAGTAATCAATGACCATCAATTTAACAACTTTGCCTTACTAGATACCAAATGACTCACAACTACGACATCTTAGTTTGTCTGATCAAGTAATCAATGTCTGACCAAGTAACCAAAAAAACTAGATACCAAATGTCTGACAACTACGTAATCAATGTCAATGACCAAGTAATCAATGTCAAATTAACAACTTTGCCTGACCAAGTAATCAATGTCTGACCAAGTAATCAATGACCATCAATTTAACAACTTTGCCTGACTAGATACCAAATGACTCACAACTACGACATCTTAGTTTGTCTGACCAAGTAATCAATGTCTGACCAAGTAATCAATGTCTGACTAAGTAATCAATGACCATCAAATTAACAACTTTGCTTGACTAGATACCAAATGACTCACAACTACGACATCTTAAGTGACCAAGTAATCAATGACCATTAAAAAAAAAAACCTTGTCTGACCAGACATCAAATGACTTACAACTACAACAATGTCTGACCAAGTAATCCTTGACCATCAAAACAACAACCTTGTGACCAGACATCAAATGACTTACAACTACAACATCTTAGTTTGTCTGACCAAGTAATCCTTGACCATCAAAACAACAACCTTGCCTGACCAGACATTTTGTGACTTACATCAACAATATCCTTGTTAGTCTGACTGACCACAGAGTCATTGTACTCTGTGTATTTGAGCAGCACCTTGTCCATGTCTGAGCTGGCATACTGGTACAGCTTATTATTGCTTGTGAAGATGATCAGGGCAATCTCACAGTCACACAGCACACTCAGCTCATAGGCTTTTTTCATCAAGCCAAATTTGCGTTTTGTGAACGTCACCTGTGAGAATATAAATGAGTTTTCAGTCTGTCACCAGAGTTATTTATTCTGTGATTCAAATTCTCCTTCTTCTTTTTGCCTCATCAGGGTGTTGAGGAAAGAGGGAGGGAGGGAGAGATAGAGAAAAGGGAAGGTGGTGTGAGGATTTTCTGTGTGCTCTTCCCAATGCACTGCCTAAGCTAATCATTTATTTGAGGCTGTTCTTGATGCTACCTTTCCGTTTTTTGCGTGGTTAACTGACAAAAGGAATTAAATGGGTAATCTTAACCACATCACGAATGATGAGGTTCGCCGTAACATTACCCATCACACTGACAACTATGAACCTCTACAGCGAAAAAAAAAAAAAACGAAAAATACAATGCTACCGACATGGAATAAGATTTAATGGTCTCTCAAAAACAATACTACAAGGTTCAGTAGTACAGTGGAAGAGAAGATGACCTAGATATAAACCCCGACTGACTAATAAACAGGCCTCAGGCATGCAACCATGAAGTTCACTGCAATTGATCGTCAAAGGTGGAGGTAGCTGATCAAGTCTGTCAACAGCAACTGGTGACCCAAAGACATGCAGTTTCAGGACGATGACGAACCTTACCTATCCTTGAAATTATATGAGACTACCCTTGAAATTATACTATACTGACAGTGAACTTTAAAAATGAAAGTTCTGGCCCAGTGAATAAACTCTGCAGTCCTGGCCACAGAATGCTTCTTTATTTAGAAACAGATATTTAATTATCTTCGCCTGATTAGGGCATCAAATAATACACTGTATAGAAGGTTACCTAAACTGAGGAAAACTGAGTAGATGCTTTGTACATCTTTTAAGAAGAAATTAACAGGAAATATGTTGGTAGATTTTATGGACAAAGATAAGGGGAGGACAAAGAGATAAACATCTGGATGGCTTGGATGGGACAAAAGCACTTACTGACCTAATCATAATTCTGATTTTTGTGTGGGGTAGTAAACCATTACTGTCTTTATCTCTAGTATTTCATACTGAAAGATTAACACCCAGTGACCTATAGAGACATTATTAGGATGAGAATCTGACAGAAGTAAAGCTCATAAACCTGTTCAACTGTATGAAGTATACTAGGGCACCCAACAATCACAAAGTAACATGTTGTCCATTTTGTCTCTCAAACAGTTTGCATTTGTTAAAATCTAACCCTCCCTCAGTATCAAAAAGATTTAAATTAAAATAAACTTCAAACCCATTAATATGTCAGTTAAAAGATGCACAATTCAATGGAGCAAGAGTCCGTTAGGCAATAACTACCTATTTAAGGTTGGTTCATTGGTTCAATCTGGATTTAAAATGTGGAAAGTGCTTGAGGTCTAAGCATCTTGTGATCATCATTTTCTCAGGAAGAAAACCATGACATTGATGCTGTACTAAATATTTTATTCTACAGCTATCCGTGGGAAACTGAGTACTAATTCACTACACCTTATAGAAAAAAGGCTGATGTAAAAGACTGCACAAATTAAGTTGCACTGTTGGTATGAATGATCCCTGTGTGGGTTCCAGGGCCCAGTTGTGGGGAAAGCAAGAACAGACCCACTGCCTCCCTATGAGCACGTTGTAAGAGTCGACAATTTAGGAGCTTCCTTCGAAGTTAAGAGTACATCTGCCTGAGAGGCAAAGGACCAACCGTCTACATTTAGGTGAATCAGATCTGTGAAACAGATGTGCACGCAACACTCAGTTTCTGGAATAGGATTTGTCTTAAAGTGGACGATTAATCAGACCCTTCCCTGGGAGTTTACAGCCGGTGAAAGCGAAGAAGAAGAGCATGAAAGAGTGTGACATAAATGCATTCAGTTGGGAAACGACATTACAGAACTCATTCTGTTGGTGTCAGTACCAGTCTGGCTTTCCATTTTGCCTTTCTCCTGAGTGTTTGCCAGATCCCCTTGTCACTCCCTGCTGCAGTTTCTCTTCAGACCATAGTCGAGGTTTCAACTTCACTGCAATCAGGTTCCCCATTCTTGCTCAGTTCCTGTGCCAGTGCAAATCAAATGAAACGTCCCTCACTGTCGCATTTGAAAAACTGGTGAAAACAGTTAGTCCCGGAATAATCCATAAATGTGTGCATGCAGTAAATGCAAATTTCAGTTGCTAGAGGCGCCAAAGCCAACAGTCGCCACCAGAAATGCAGTTTGTCGTTGATGGGAGTAGTCGGACACGATAAGTTGGCACATAGAATTATTACATAAGGTATTTCACCAGCTCACATGTAAACTAGCTATCGGCCATATCGAATAGCACAACATAACCGCTGCACAAATGAAAGGCACTCCACTGGAAAAACGCAGCTCACAGGGCTGCACCAAGCACTAAACTCATTAGCTCAGGCAGCGAAACCGTTTCTTCAGACCATGATGATTTATATGTGCTTCTGCAATGTTCACTTAAGCCCAAAGGGGTAAATGCCTGCTGATGTTACATAATAAGTATGTTTTGTTTTTTTCCTTTTTAAGCTTGCTCTAACCAGGGTTTCTAGAGGGAAACAAAGAATGATCTAAAGACAGAAAATATAACCTCACCTGTCTATTTCTTTCATCATTGATGCGAGTGATCTGAATCTTCTTCCGACCCATTGTGTTAAACTTTATCACAGATGAAACTGCAAGAAAAAGAAAAGAATCATATGACTTTAAACTGAATAAAATTATCTATAGTGATAAGACTCAACATGAAGCTTTCAGTAGCTAAAATTCTTGTCTGCTGGTCAAGTGGTCATATGTTCGAATCACAAATGAGGTGAGGATTAAAAAAAAAATATATAACTAGGAATCCCAGAAAGAAAGGATGCTGGGAAATTTCCTTAGATGGTATCGTTATTGTGTTGTGTTGATTATACAACCAAAAGTCTTGCAGTCTTTTCCTCCATCTGTTCTCTACTGTGCAACTTTTTCAATATCATGACTGGGCTGAGCCACTACCCTGAACAAGCATGTCACAGAAGGCAACTAATTGTGGATTTGCTGAAATCAGATGTGTTGGGCAGAAAGGCTAATATCGCAACTTAGCTGTAAACCACAACACAACACACCAACCTACTTTTAATGGCCAACATAAATGAGGAAGAAGATACAATCAAGGACTAATACATCTGTAATTTTGCTACTGTCGGGTCAACTGCATGAGGCCTTTGGAAGGAGAAAAAAAGGGCCAATAAAAATACTAAACATTTAATTAATTACTATCACTTGTTTTCTTTTTTCTGCTTTTCATTATCCCTACAGGGAGAAGTTGACTGGTGCTATAGTTTTCAGGTTGAGCTGTGACACCTTTCTGCACTATCTGTGCCTTTCGGGCCCAGCACCTCAAACTTAAAAGTGCTTTTCTGTTAGGATGAGCTTCCTTAGTATGTGACATAAATAGGGGGTGACTGCAGTCAAGCTAATGACAGCAAGAGACAAATGTAACATAAAATGTAACTATAAAGCTGAACGGGGGAGAGAAAAAGACGTGCTTAAATATAACCCAACGTTTCCACAAAAGTCTTTATCAATGGAGTACTAAATACAACAAATGCATTTCTGTAAGAAATACTCATACAGATTAGAGAAGACACTAGAAAAACCACTGTTTTACAAGCTAAAGCCCCATGTAACGACTGCTACAGGGACGAAGACACACACACACACAAATGCTATAATCTTTCAGACATATTAAGTGAGGTGAACGAAAAAGACAAACTGATAGTGATGGGTGATTACAACCCCAAAGCAGATAAAAGAAAAACACCACGGGAACACTGCATAAGAAAGACCATTCAGCGATGTGAAGATGGAATAGCAATGGCGAACTCCTACTCAACCTGTGTTCCGAACATGGACTAATAATAAAATGCTTTTTTCCAACATTGCTGTAGTCATATCAAAATTTGGTGTGAATGGAATAACACAGACCAAGCATCTCAGATTGCTTTCATTTTACTAAGGAAGACAGACAGATTACAATTATTGGACTCAAGAGCACAATCAAACACAATCACTGATACTGAACATAAACCAGTTATAGTAATAAAGAAAATATATATACAATCGGATATACAATCATACAGTTACTGGTACCATCGGAATTTTAACTCCGCTTGCCGCTTAAGATGGGGACGGAGTGCTTATGGGGATGTCGATTCCTTATTCAACATTGATAAGAAGAGATGCAAAACAAAAGATCAAAGCTTCCAAAATTAAAAAAAGTATGGACAGCAGATGGCCACACTTAGAAGTCTCCCTAGAAAACTGTAAATTAAAAACAGGTTAAAAATATGAGAGCAAGAGATTAATGCTACAATCCATCCACCATTTTAAAACAACAGAGGCTGTCATCCACATCAAAGGCTAGGAGCCACTCAACCCTGAAAACATCAATTTGTGCCTAAACAGCAGCGACCAACACAAACTAAACTTTTTAACATCAGAAGAAAAAACTGTTGCATAGAAGAGCCCTAAAAACTAAGCATCTGATTTAGATGGAATAACTACAGAAGCTACTCAACCATGTGGTCAAACTGGCATCAAATGGCAAATAAGAATTTTCAATACAGCACGTGAAGAAAGGAAAGTGCCACTTGACTGGCAACAGGCACTGATAGCACAAATTTGGAAAAAAGAAAGGTAATACAGAAGATTGCATCGTACCTAGGTTTAGATTTAGACCAAAAGAGGAACAACACTTAGGTTTACAATTTAGTTTCAGGAAAGGAAAAGGCTGCACAGATGCACCATTTACACTAAGACCGGTTTTGCAAGGAAACCAGTGAATATGGGGATGAACTGAATATTGTGTAAAGGTAAAGTCAGGAGATGTGAACCAGCGTCATTTCACACGGTTATAAACCATAAGTGCTCTGCCACCAGTACGGACAGCTGATAAGAATTGTCCGCCTGTGTCGCCGTCCGCACGTAACTAAGTAGCTACAGCGACGTTCCTCCATTTACCCCAGAGTATCGCTATGGTACCCATTTCCTAGAGGCTGGGTCCACCCCGGGAGCAGCCCGGTTTCGAACACCGACCGTGGGCTGCAGCGAGTCGCAGCTGGATTTGAAAGCGAGCTTCTTATCGACTGCGTTAACGTGGCCCCCACGGAATATTGTATTGTAGATCAATCAAAAGCATTTGACACAGGAGACAGAAACAAACTATGGGCTATTCTTGAGGATTATGGAATACAACGACAGTATACACATATACATACATATATATATAGACAGAATATCAAAAGAAACCAACTTCAAAGCATTCGATCACTTTCCAGAAGAAGCATTAGATTCATACAGAATAAAAAAACTATTATCTGTGCCTGCTCTACAATGAGGGGAATAGACTGTAAGACGATTTGAACAAGCTATGTTCAACATGCAGAAGATATAACATGTCTAACCTGTGTAAAACAAACACCTGTGAAATGAGATGACAGAAAAAAGCCGCCAACTTAACAATCAAAGACGAAGTTAAAAATCATTTTATCAGGCAGACTGTAAACACCATGCCTCAAATTTATTGAGAAATAGAAAATCAAACTGTTTGGTCATCTAGTAAGAATGCAGCCAGAACAACCACCAATGCAGGCGCTACAGATGGACAGATCTGAAGGGAAAGCAAGAGGTCGCCCTGGGAGAAATGGACTGATGACATTAAAAAGCTTCTATGTCAATATGAAATGACAATAGCCATTGCTGCCCATCAAGCAATAGATCGCAAACTGTTTCTCCCAATGACACTTTACGACAGAATCGGGAATTTATAAAGATGACTAAATATAAAACAAACAGTGAAAACAAATTAATATGTAATGGGCGAAATATGGACATGACTTTATTTTGTATATAGCCCTTCATGCCCATATTTCTTCTGTTATATATTTCTTGGTTTCATGTTGGCGTTGAATGTTTTAGAGCTCTATTTTGCCTGTTGAGTTTTCTAATTGAAGTTAGTGTTGTATTTAAAGTACATTGATGAAGACTTTGCTCAAAGTGTTCGGTTGTATTTTTGCGGGTCTTTTTCTTCGTTGAGCATTCTAGTCACACTTTATGCTGTATTTAGGATTCCTTAGTGCACTGTCAACCAAAAGTCTATTCAATGGAGGTTTGCGATCCATTTTCAAGACGGTAGCTGTTCCAAGCTGTTGACCTCCATCTGTTTGGTATTTATCTGTTTCATGACAAAAACAGGTTTGAAAATGACATGGCCGTCTACTCCATGCTTCTTCCCAACCTGGCGGACGGGGTGTTTCTTCCTGCACGACTGACTCCTGATTATAAACATAATTTGTGGAAAATAAAAACAATACATTCATTTCAATAATATTTGTTCAGGAGTCAAATTGTCCATAAAACTGTCACCATAAAAATATCAGAAACATGCATTTTTAATATATTATTTCAAATACATTTTGGCACAGAAAAACACTATACTGCTAAATGAATTCATATTATTTTATTTTTGTAATGCCAACATGTTTCTGACATTCCAAAACTATTTAGACATATCTTCATCTAAAAAGTTTATCCAAAATACCTTCATCTAAATAGTTTTACTATTATAACATTTTTAATTTTAATTCTTTTCTTTTATTTCATATTATTACTTTATTCTGTCTCTTATCAGTATCATTTATGATTCATTAAAATTTGCATTTCTTTTATTCCTACTATTATATTATATATTAACAATATATTAAAAAAGTTTTTTTGACTATATACTTTTTAGCCGTTGTTTATTTTATTTCATTCACTTCACATCACATTTTTTAAAACGTTGCTCACGTCACTCTTTTGAGATCGAAACACTCTCCTCTTTATTATATCTGTGTAGTTCCTTTCATGTTTGACAAAGGCTGAAACGTTATCTATGTTGTTTTGTGCACGTTTATCTGCTTCCCTATTTCGTTAAACTTTTTAGTTACATCCATGAAGCAAAGCATGTCATCCTAACAGGCATCTGTCACTGGTGCCTTTCCAGATTACAGGATCATTTTGTGCTACAGGGAGGCATAGGAATTATTGTTCATGACCAGCTTGACCCATTTGCATAAAGAACAATCTGCCACAATTGGAGCATGGGATGTCAGGATTACTACTGCTACTGTAAGCATTTTCTTTCTTTCGTTTGCTTGAAATATATTATCTATATCTGCAATGTTGTCTCTAGTATGAAATTCACTGACTTTTGTAATTCACTCAGCGACTCGTAAAGTTTGGCTTGCATCGATGTTTCTCTTGGCCAAAGTTTTGCCTTGTTATGTAGTATTCGGGACAGTCTTGGAGGACGTGATTTGTATGCATTTAATTTACTCCTAAGATGGCGGCAGCAAAATATCCTAACGAGCCTCAGTCACGTGTCAATTACACACTTCCGGCGGTTTTCCGGCGATTACTGCCACGAGTCCCCTACTCATGGTGGTGGTCGCCGGAAAACCGCAAATTAAGGCCCCGGAAGTGCACAATTGACATGTGACTGAGACTCGTTAGGATATTTTGCTGCCGCAATCTTTTGTGCCCATTATTCAGAGGATAGCCTATTTTTAATATGCCTCTTATTTAAATAGACTGTGCACAATAGGCTGCATAATTATGTTCTCTGGCCA